ATGGGGCCTCTGGGTACTCATGAACCTCCAAGCAGAACCGTGTAATCTTCCTATACTCTCCATTGTAGTTCCTTTTATTGGTAACCTGTTTTATGGTTAGGATCATATACTATAAATTTGGTATAAACAAAAAGGGACCCCTGCGGGCACCTGGGAGCCCGGTGCTGCGAGGTGGGCGTGGTTCAGCGTTCCGCCGCTGGACTGGCCCAGGAGCCTCCCGGCTCTGCTTCCCACAGAGACACCAGAAATCCGAAGGGTCTAGGTAACAGTAGTTACAGTAACTCTTTCCATAGAGACACCAGAAATCCAAAGGGTCCGAGTAACGGTAGTTACAGTAACTCTTCCCGTAGAGACCCTGAAACCCATACGGTCCAAGTGATAGTTTAGTTATTGGGGGGGCCCAGAATTCGCCTGAGAGCGTGCTGTAAGGGTATACTTGGACCCTTGGGAAAAGGGGCCCGCTTGAAGGAACCAACCGAATTGCCCCATTCTCACCTAAAGAGCAAGACAAAGCCTACGTATATGCATCATAATCCACCGGGGGGGTCTCATTGTCTTACTAAGCTTTGGTTAGTAGGGAATGGAAGAATGGTAGTAATAGTGGTTATAATTAGTTATAATTGTACCCCATTCCTCCATTTCCTACTAACCAAAGGTAAGTTGTTAAGGATAAGAGGACCTTCTTGGGGCGGGCCTTTACAGGAAGGATCCGACAGTTTGCGCCTGACTTCGAGTCCCCTTATAGATCTAAACCGCGGACTTTGAGCTTCTGAAAAAAATCCCGAAAGAAGAGGCCAGGTTGTTCGGGAGACAGCGCAACCTAGGTCAAACATCTCGTACTTGACTTAAGCTGAACAAATGCTGAGACTGACACCAGAGCACACCTGCGTGAGTTCGTATTCTGTTTCTGTCCAAGGAACGTGACGTTGCTGGCATCGCCGCCAAACCTGGTTCCGGGCTATGGATGGCCAGCTCTGGCTTAGCAATTCGGAACGTTGGGTGCAGAAGTGTTATACGTCGGGCTGCTGGGATTCAGAGATAATTTTCTCCAGGCTTTCGCGCATGCCTAAACCCACGAACCCACAAACCTTAAACCCTATCTACCCTGTAAGCCCTCGGAACCCTAAAGATCCCTTATGGATCTCTTATCGGGTTCCTAAACCCTGAGGCTCTTTGGTTCATTGATCTCAGGAACTCATCTAGCTGGGACTCCAGGTCAACGCCCCGAACTTACGGTTTCAATACGGTTTGGGCCGCTAGGATTACGAGGCTTGGGGTTTAGGGTTTAGGGTTGAGGGTGTAGGGTGTCACGAAGGTGAGGATTGAAGGCTGAGGGTGTCAGGATGATTAGCATTTGGGGTTTCGGGTGTCAGGGACATACTTCTGGCTATGTAAAGCCTGTAGCACCAAGCAAACTCCACAAGCAAAGCTCCTGAACACTAACCAAACTGAAACTGTAATCCCAAAATCCTAATTACGGTCCAGCCCTTCAGTTTTTTGGGTAGTGCAGCCGTAGGGCGCAGCGACATGCTCTTGGACCCAGCGCAGACACAGCTGGTAATCAAGCGAAGCCGTAATTGCCGCTCACGCCTGCGTTCCGTCTCTCGTTCAGGGGACTCCGTAAGCTCATCTTCGACATGCTGCCATAACGGAGGTACGAGATTCGGGTTTAGTTTGGGGCGGGGGCTTAGAATCACCGTATGAACCACGAACACATGTTGAGTATGCAACAAACCATCAAGGGTTACAAGATGAAACTCGGCATGCGCGGCCACTACTTCAGAGCTGAGTCCGGTTTTGCAGTCATGAAAACCCAGAGGCCCCACAGTAGTTCCCAGAGCCTCCAAAACCCTTTAATTAAGGAATACACCTTAAAGTATAATAGGATCCCTGATATAATTTAAGGTATACTCCTTAATTAAGGGGTTTTGGAGGCTCTGGGTTCCTTTTTGGGATTACCTTATAGGATTCTATATACGAGCCCCTAAAAGGAACTACTTTGGGGCCTTTGGGAAAACACATTATGTGCCCTCAAAAAAAAGCAAACACAACAGGCACAACACACTTACGAAAGCGGAGTTCAAGCGAACGACCCAATGACAAAGCCTACAAGAGCGCAACAAAGAGCACCCAAAAACCGCTAAACCCGAGATACCAAACCCTTTCAGCTACCATAAGAGCCTGTGAAGTAGCATACCCTGTACCCTGAAGCGTGTAAGGGCCTACACGAGAGCACCCAAAAGCCAACCTCGAGGATCTCTCGCTGAGAATTCCGGCAAGGCCATAAAGCCTAGGCTTCTTGCTACTGGTTTTCAAAACTTAAGTGTGGTTTAGAGGTTCAAGGGTTGGGGGTTTAGGTTTTAGTGTTTAACTTAGGAATTCGGGGTTCAAGGTGTCTTTGTGTCATTTTCCGATGCTTGAACAATCAGAATACGGTTTTGCGGGGAATATCGAAGTAGTTGTAGCAAGGAGGCACCTAGGACTAGGCCACTGCATTGAGGCTTTTGGTCCAGGTCGCACAAGATCGAAGTGCCAACCGCAAAGATGATGCAGTGTGACCACACCTTAGAGTAACCTAGGAATAAAAAGGGTGCCCTTTTTGGTTTAAAGGGGTTTAAAAGGGAACCTAAACCTTAAAAAAGGGAATAGGGGCCTACTCTGGGTCCTAGGTGAATGAACCCAGGATTGCGCGAAACGAGACGGCTCAGGCTTCCGAAACCCCTACAACCTAAACCCTAAAGCCTAATGACTTACCCAACCCTAAACCCGAAATCGGGTTCACTACTAAGTAACCCTACCGCCCGTCGCAAAAGCAAAAGAAGCGCAAAAGGCTCGAGAACCGAGTCGAGCCTAGAGCTTTGATGTCTACCCTATGCCAGGTGTCGATTTCCCCAAAGTTATTCATAATTAACGCTCTACATTAAACAATAGGGGAAATCAAAATGATCCCAAATCGATACCTACATGTAGTATGGCTCCATGTACCAAAATAGTGCATACCTTGGCACTAAGGGACCTATATTATTATCGCGGGGTTTGTTCAGGTGACAGTAATGTAGGTTTGGGGTTTAGGCAGCCTCATCTACGCATGCAGTGTCATGAAGCCTACTTGAAGCCCAAGCCCTACGGTAGTTTGCTTCGCCTTCTCCGTGCGGCTTCGAGACCTAGTGAACCGAGGCGGTGCTGACCTTGGGCTCAGTCAAATGGCATGGCATAGCTCTCGGTTTTTGTTTTGTTCTTTTTGTTGAGGGCCTTTTCTGTCGCGCGAGCTCTCGGTTTAGGGTTATAGGTTCTGGATTTAGGGTTTAGACGTAGAGAGGGACACAGATCCTCTTGGATACACAAGCCGGCACACCTCGAGGTCGTTCCAAATTCGGGTCTTCTTGCAGAGTGCTAATACTATGAACTCCTTGTTCTTCTTGGGTGGCTTTCCTTCTTTAGGCTTGTGTATGTAACATGCTGTACATGGAACTTTAGCTGGAATCAAGAGCATCAGCAAGATCAATAAGCACAGACAAAAAATGCATCGCTATGAACGGCCCTGCCTCTGCCCTCGCGTCTGTCTCGTTGTCTCTGTTTCTCTGTCTATCTTGCTCCGCCTCTGTCCCTCCGGCAGTCCCTCGCTCTCGCTCTCTCGCTCTCTCGCTCTCTCGCTCTCTCGCTCTCTCACTCTCGCACTCTCTCGCTCTCTCACTCTCTCACTCTCACTCTCGCTCTCGCTCTCGCTTTCGCTCTCTCGCTCTCTCGCTCTCTCGCTCTCTCGCTCTCTCGCTCTCTCTGTGTCTCTCTGTCTCTCTGTCTCTCTCTGTCTCTCTGTCTCTCTGTCTCTCTCTGTCTCTCTGTCTCTCTGTCTCTCTGTCTCTCTGTCTCTCTGTCTCTCTGTCTCTCTGTCTCTCTGTCTCTCTGTCTCTCTGTCTCTCTGTCTCTCTGTCTCTCTGTCTCTCTGTCTCTCTGTCTCTCTGTCTCTCTGTCTGTCTCTGTCTCTCTCTCTGTCTCTCTGTCTCTCTGTCTCTCTCTCTGTCTCTCTGTCTCTCTGTCTCTCTGTCTCTCTGTCTCTCTGTCTCTGTCTCTCTCTCTGTCTCTCTCTCTCTCTCTCTCTCTCTCTCTCTCTCTCTCTCTCTCTCTCTCTCTCTCTCTCTCTCTCTCTCTCTCTCTCTCTCTCGCTCTATCTACATAGGTAATATTCTATATATGCATAAGTATAAATTTATGTGTATGCAAAAACACATATTTATATGTTTATATCTATCCGTATGTGTACAACAGATATGGTATACTTGCACATACTAACATTGTGGACGTAATGTTAAAGCCCTTAAAAACGCATCTTGACGGCATGATGGTCCAAGTTGGTGCCAGGTTGGCATAACCAAGTTACGCTTAAGGTGTACCCTAAACCGTAAAACCAGAACAAGAAAGCAAGCACCCTGAACAATATACGCCTTAAAGCCTGTGTTCGATTTGACTGCTGTTCGTCCAGCTATACCTCTACATAACTCATTGCACACTTGCTGGGTTCTGTGTATCCGATTCTTTCCCGAAACAACTCCTCATCTCAACGGCTGCCATGGTCAGTATGAAGATGATTGAAAGAGGTCATGGAGGCAATCACGATGACGACTGATTGCCCAGGGAGCATCGTGGTGGCAATGATAAATACCATGGGAAAAGTATCTCTGGATGATGGGCATTAACCGTTACGAAGGAGCAAACGCCCTGCATATGAACACAGCCTCTATTCTCTGGAATCACTCTTGAAGACAATCATCTCAAATGGTTTATTTGTCTATCTATCTGTGTATTCGCCTATCTGTCTAACTGTCTATCTGTCTACCTACCTATCTACCTATCTACCTATATAACTATATAACCACATAGATATCTATCTACTACATATGTATATACACACATATACACCGCCATGTATGTTTCGGCCTGTTTAAGTAGCTATTTTCGTGCTTACGAATTCATACCTATAGAATATATGCGTGTCCTTACAATTAACCAGCAAAGAAGCAGACGACCATCACGATGTCGCCGGCCGCTGCGACGAAATTGGTCAAGCCGGCGTAGCCCGAGTTGTCGCCCAACACGAGGCCACCGCCGGGAGGGAAACTGGGCGCAGTGCCGGGTTTAGGGTCGGGCATGAGCCTGCAGGGGTTTATGGTTTACCTATAGTCTCCATTGTAGTTCCTTTTTTGGTTAACCAAAATCTCTATTATAGGGTCTTAACCATAAAACTGGTTAACCAAAAAAAGGAACTACAATGGAGACTATAGGTACGGATTCAGGCTTTAGGGTTTTGGGCTTGACTGGGGCAATGAATCATCTTTCGGGCCCTAAACCGAACACCACGCGATTCGGCCTCTTCAACTTCATGCCCTAAGGAAACGGCACTACAGAGCTGGTGACCAGCCTCCCATCACACTTCAGATTACCTTGGGCTTGGGCCTGAATTTGGGATGTAAGACTGATATGCAGAGTATGGAAGCATCGCAAACCCACGCACTACCCAAAGGCCCCAAAGTAGTTCCTTTTGGGGGTTCGCATATAGAATCCTATAAGGTAATCCCCAAAAGGAACTACTATGGGGCCTCTGGGCAATGCATTAGGAGAAAAAGCCCTGCACCCCAAACGGGTCCGTCGTAAGCCTGAACACTATATAAGCCATAAGGGAGTTTCCGAAAATAGGGACCCCAAGATAGTACCCTAAATAGTAGGATCCTTATTATAAGGACCCCAAAATAAGGTATGCAATTTCTCGGAAACTCCCATAAAGCCTAAACCCTGGAAGTTAATGCGGCCGAGAGACACTACGACGGGGAGGTTGCTGCAGGCGCCAATGGGCGCACATCCCGGTGCGAAGACGTTGAGGTACAAACAATCCTGAAACCCTTCGGTTCGACTATAGGCTTTATTATAGGGGCTATAGTTCCCCTAAGCTCAAAATCCCCACCTCTGGATCCAGTCACATACTGGTTTAGGGTGTATACTTTATACAATTGTCGTAGGGTTTCGCTCTACAGGGAAATCGTAGGAGGCTTAAGTAAAACATTCTACAAACAATACCTCTCTAAAGTCTATATAAGTGGGACCTACTTTGGGCTATTTGGAACGCCTGGGATGCCGAAACACTCAACCCCGTACATCACGAATCCCGAACCCCCCTATACCTGAAGGACCAAATGACCCTTAAAAGTAGGGGCCTTATACCCATATATTATGAATCCCTATATGGTAAAAGAACCTTAAACCCTTTTAGGGTTCATTTCGTCCTTGAGGTACCCTCAAGTGACTCCTGAACATGACAAACACCGGAACTAACTGAAGGTCTGCATACGTATCACTAGTGCCCTCTTATGGCTCCTTTCTAGAATACCAATATACTACCCCAAAGCACTCATGTCATTCTTCAAAGTGTTCCTACACCCGAATCCTGATACCCTGAGTAGCCAAAATCGCGCCTCACTCTGCCCGCCGTGCTCATTGTACAAGTTCCACTGCAGGCATGCGGGACCCTCCTGCCTCCCACAGGCTGCGGCTTGGGTTTCGGTTTTGGGTTTCGGGCCTTTGGAGTTTAGGGTTTAAAGGCTTTGGTGCCAGGGTTCGGGGCTTGAGGGGAGGGGGGTCAGTTCAGACCCAGATGCCTGAACCCAATACACCCTACACTGGAGACCCCGAACTCCAGACTACACCCCTATAAGCCCTAGACCAAACCCTGAACCTTCATCATTCATCACTGAACCCGAAAGCCTGAACAGAATTGGAGCCAGGCTTCACCATCGAGACATTGAAGACTTGCAGATTCAACTTCTCTGCCTAACCCTGCACACTGTACTAGTCAACAGGATACCTGGATGGTTACCGTAGGCGACGCAAAGACCGATCCTGTGCAAATATCAAACAGCTTCCAAAAATTGCAATTCTTCAACCGAGACCCTGAACCAAGAAACCCTCCAACCTTTCGCTTGCTTGATACCGCCCCCGAGCTAGTTGCCCACCAGGTCCGGTCAGCTCTATTTTGAGATCAGGGTCCCAGGGTTACAGGGTTACAGGGTTGGCGGCTGTGGATCTGCCAGGGAAGGGTCGTTTGTCTGCGATCATTGGGGAACTTTAGAGGCACAGCCATGTTTGAGTTCTCACTGGCCCAAAACCCAAGGAAATAAAACTTGAAACTTTCAGAATCGACTACCTTATAATAAGAACGCCAAAGTTGAAAAAAGTTTAGTTTACAGTCATGTTCAAGTTTCGGGGGAGACACTGCTCGGTTCTCGGTTCTAGGTTAGGGGTCCTGGCAGAGTTCAGGCGTACACACCCTCGTAGGTTACCTTATTGTCTGATTCTATGACCCTATCCGTCATTGAAACAAGCCAAGGTGCTGCAATTTCGGGTCGCAGTAGCACCGAGATTTTGATCCCCGGTTCATAGCTAGTGATAAGTGGGGTTATAAGTCCCCGAATATGGGTTATAAGTATAGTTACCCTACTTACAATCCCAGTTATAATTACTCATGCACCGCCAAACAAACCCAGAACCCTAAAAGCATGGCCTCGCAATCCGCGGAGCTTCAGGACAAAACTCCGTGGAAGGCATCCAGCGCTCCTTCACCGTATGGGGACACGAGGATCGGTTTAGTCTACCTAGGCCCTCGTTCTACCCTCTATTAGACCCTAAATACCTACTAGTCCTGGTAGAGTCCTTGGTCTATTGTGTCATCAGAGGGTTTTAGTGTTTAGGGTCTTGGGGGATAGCTATGGTGGTTACAGCTTCATAGCCGGGTAATCTTTGTATAGGGTCGATAATGAGTTTCCGACATGGTTCGTTGCGCGGGCTTTCTCTTTTACTTTAAAGCACATCTTGCATGGTGCTTACCCAGACCCCGGAAGGATCTAGAAAGTAGATCCCCTGATTTGGGGCCCTATACCACTAAGGATACTTTATAGGAACCCCCCATTAAAGGATCTACTTTTTGGATCCTCCCGGGTGCCTGGGTAGGGTTTCGAATGCAGCTGACTGCTTCTGGGCTGCAGGTTTCGGGTTCCGGCGTCCGACATAAAGCATCCGGGAGGTCAGAAACCTAGGAGCCGAAACTTAGTAGTTAGTGGCTAAGGACTGTCATGATTATGTACTAGTTAATGGTTAATGATTAGGGTTTTAGGGATTCTTATGAATCAACGGACATGGGGGCCTCAACCGAAGCAAAAAGACCAACATGGGGGCCCTCAACCGGCCTTTGGTTAGTAGGGAATGGAAGAACGGTGTACTTTTACTAAAGAATTGTGCCCCATTCCTCCATTCCCTACTATCCAAAGGTAAGTCAACAGTCAGGATAGGTTGTTGGGATACTCGTATTTAGTCCAATGCATACAGGGACTATAGGGGGACATTTTTTCACATTGATCGATCCCTGTGGCAGACGAACCCTATAAACCCGACAACCTACAATCCTTTCAAGCCCGTTAGTAGACGTCAAATTCCTCATTGAATTTGCGAATATCCGAAGCCCTATCCCAACCGTTATAGTGGAAGTTCTGAAACTAGGAGATTTCCCGATAAACCCACGTAATGTCACACGAAATTATGGCACCCCTGGTTGCCAGACAACCCGAATCTTTAGCGCTTACGGATTGCGGCGCTCCGCTTCGCCAAACTTGATCCCCCGGTACGCGGCGATGAGCATGCCCTGTGGATGCTCCCATTGGCCACTGATCTGGCCACCTGGGTTTTAGGGTATTGGGTTTACGGGTTCAGGGTTTAGTGTTTAGGATAAAACATGGTAAAACTAGGGTTTATAGCATTCAGGGATGATGCTTGAGTGAACGACTGGTTTTGTGTTCTAGCGTATTCAGGGTTGTCCACGAGATTACAGGGTTTAGGGCTTCGGAGTGTTGATCAACTGGGCTTACAGTTTTGCGCTTAGGAATACGACTTTTGCTCCGAGGCTGTAAGATGTATGATGTATACTTTGGGGCTGCAAATTTTCGCACGTAGGGTTGAGGATTGCAAGAGTGACCTTTCAGTCAAGTCTAGCTAGGAATGTCTCGAAGATGCGCAGCAGAAAATTAAATAGTAAGATGGCAGAAGCAGCTGTACAAGTACTTTGAAGTGAGTGCACTGTCAGCATGCTCATGAGGATGCAAGCGCATGTGGCTTTGCTATTGCAAGCTGGAGATTAAAGGCTCAGTTATCAGTCGAGGGTTACTTAGGTTTAGGGGGTGTGATGCGATGTTTCGCACGGTCTCGGTTGAGCCTGAAGCTTTAGAAATTACAGCGAAACCCAGAGACTTTATGATTAATGACAGGATTCCCTGTGCTTTACCTTAAGGCCGTGACGATCATGATGTTCCAACTTTCCAGCTACTACTTTGGGCTCTGCTCCGGGAGAACCATGAGATGCCCATCAGCCTGAACCTCTTATCCGTAATCCAAACCCTGCAAGAGTACAAAGTGGGGGGTTTAGGGTTTGGGGTTTAGGGGTGAAGAGGTATATGGTAGTTCAAGTAGTTCCCCCAATTTTAAGGGTCCAATGTAAATATACAGTAAATTTAGGGTTTTTTTTTCGGAATTACACCTATGATTTGGGCAAGTAGTACCTAGGACCCTTTCGGGTCCAAACCACACAAGAGCATGTAGTGGGTGAAAAGAAATAAGAGCCCGATACCTATATGGTGGCTTATTAACTGGGAGAATGGATACTACAAAGTTTTATGGAGTTGAAAGGCTTATGGATTCCAGGGGCAGGTCGCTGGATCAGCAGCTAAAACGCCCGAGCCTAAACCAGACCCTCTAGTGCATGTTCATGTTTCGGAGGTTTAGGTTCTCGTGGTCTTCGCGCTTCAGGGTATACCAGGTTCCTGAATAACCTACCGTCAAGCTCAGTTTGGGCTTGACCTATGTTTTCGCCAAGCTCGCTATACCTCTCGATTCCATAGAGGCAGGGGCATGGAGAGCCTATAATTATGGCGGCCCGTCAACGCTCCATCAACAAGATTGTCACAAACTGCGAGTATGACTACGATGACGGTAGTATCAGTCGGAATCAGTGCCCATGCGACATGAAGGCAAGGAGCAGCTCGTCCGCGCTGTGGGAGGGAAGGCTATCAACATCTGAATTGGAACATGCCTGCCACATTGGCAGCTAGAGCTCGAAGTTTGTGCGAGGTTTGAGTGTTGAGGGCTCCGTGGCTGAGTTCCTTCTGATATTTCGTGGCTGAGTTCCTTCTGATATTTCGGAAGTTTGGGGGGGGGGGGGGGGGGTTGTCAGCCTGCTTCATGGATGACTTTCGCCAACCTTGAATGTTGATCAGCCCACAAGGACTACCGCATCCGTCTCCAGTACTATTTGGTACGCAGTATTGACTGCAGAAGCTGCCTGTTGTGGTTTTCATGACTGCTAGTACTGCACGATGACGACAACCTGCTAAAGTTGAATATGATGCTGAGGATCCTGCTCGTTCTGACATCAGTAAGATGACCATTTTGAAGATGATGCTAAAGAGGTTCGCCATGGCGATAGTAAGACTTATGGTGATGATCAGCTCGCAATCTTGGAAACAATACCGGTTGCTGCCAACTCCCAGAGTCGTTGATAGCTGTTACTACAACTACGGCAATGACTAAGCGGAGTCGTAGCAACAATAGTGGAAGTAGCAGTAGCAGTAGCAGCAGTAGTAGTAGTAGTAGTAGTAGTAGTAGTAGTAGTAGTAGTAGTAGTAGTAGTAGTAGTAGTCTGGCAGTGGTAGCAGCAGTAGTAGTAGTAGTAGTAGTAGCAGCAGTAGTAATAGGAGCAGCAGCCGCAGCAGCAGCAGCAGCAGCACTGGCTTCTCTTTCGACACAACCCTCCCGGACAGAGCCCAAAATCGCCCCAAAGTCCCCAAAATCTCCACAAGCAAGCGTCGCGGCACGCCTAGGGCAGCTCGAGAACAGCGCCACAAGCAGAAGTGGCGCGAAAATTGCACAATCGAGTTTTCTCCTGGGCTGGGGTGTACATATCGGACCCTGGGTTTCCCAAAGTCTGAGGACTGAAGCGATTCAACGGAAGTCGATGTGTAGAGTGGGACAAGATGAAGGGTATACTTACGGAAACACAATCATGATGAAGGTGGGGGTGAGGGTGAGGGCGAGGGGGAGAGTGAGGGTGATGGTCAATAGTGATGGGATTGGCGGTGATGATGACGATGATGATGATAATCATGATGTTGACGCTTGCTGGCCACATCTCTTCTGCCACTTTATTCCCAAAGCACGCTTTGCCAGCAAGGGACGGCGCAGGAAAACGGTTCCACTGGCGGCGTTGCATGGGGGCCTCATCGGGCAAGCTGCGGTAGTCTCCTCGTGACAAGTCTTGAATGATGGCACACAGGGTTTCAATGAGCTTCGCATGGACCCAACTCTGAACCCAGCCTTGGCATGCACACCCCGAAACCTAGTTCCCTACATACGAAGAACAGGGACATGCAAGAGCCATCCGGAGAGGTCAGCCTGCACCTGGGCCTTGGGTTTAGGTTCATTGTGCAATGGCCCTCATCCTGCAACCCAACATAAATTCTACAACTACAGGGGTTGTCCGATGATTCTGGTCCGGAAGCGCTACCGCTGCTGATGTTTCCACATAGTCCTCGTCGCAGTAGTTGCGGTTGTAGCAGTGGAAATTGAAATGCTCGTAGCAGCAGTAGTAGTCGCCGTGGTAGTCGTGGTCGTTGCAGAAGCGGTAGTGGGCAGCAGCAGCAGCAGCAGCAGGAGGAGCAGCAGCAGCGGCAGCAGCAGCATCAGCAACAACAACAACAACAAAAGCAGCTGGCGTAGACTGTTGGAACTGATTGTTCTTGCTGCAGTTGCTAACGATAGCCAGGCCTGGATGTTCTGCCATCGCGCCGCTGTGAACGGCTTCAAGGGCTGATCGCATCTTTGAGCCCTAGTGTTGCGACCAGGAATCAAATTAGCTGACCGTATTCGAGAGTCTTTCCGAAAGGGGGCAGGAAAGAAACACCTCCGGAAACCGATAAGTTCTTAGAGCCCCGGGCTTTCTTGGGCTGTCAAGGTTTGGGGCTTAGGGTTTCGGGGTTAGTGGTTAGGTCTTCGGGGTTAGGGTTTTAAGGCTTAGGGGTTCCGGCTTGGGTTTTGGGGGTTTTGGGTCTTGGGTTTACCTTAACCCCGAAGAACCTACATTTTTAAGGACTTATATAAAGAAACCATAATAAGGAAAATTAAAAAAAGGTAGGTTATTCAGGGTTAAGGTAGGGTTTAGGGGATCAGGCCGTCATCCTTGAATACCTGAGGCCCTTAGGCACTGTTACTCCCGATGCATCCTCCATAGAACAGCCACTGCTTATGTAAATTCCCACATGCAAGGATAAACGCAGGAATGTAGGCACAACGAGATTTAAGACACCTGCAACCTGAACCCAGGAACCTACACGTAAGTTTTAACGAGAGAACACTTGTATAAAGACTCCCGGAGCAACACATCCACGCCGAGCACCATCGACAAACTTCCACACTAAACACCAGGGGAAGCCAAAGTTGAAGCAACAACGTTCCTGAACCCCAAAAACCGTAGTACAGAAGCCTCATAATTTTCATAACAACAATGTTTTAATCAAAAGGAACCCCTGATATCAACACAGCTTGCTGCCACCTCCTGAGGACTCGCGAGGTGGCGAACGCCTGCTAGCAACGATGTATGTCGGTGTGTGTGTGTGTGTGTGTGTGTGTGTGTGTGTGTGTGTGCGTGTGTGTGCGTGTGTGTCTTACTCTTACTGTTGTTGGGTGGCGAGGTTGGTTGTCATTGATACCTGCTGTGGGATCTATAAGTACGAGCATACCGCAGATACGTGAAGAATAGGGCTGGGCCCATCGACCACTCTTCACCCTAAACCCTGAGCCCCCTCCGCCGATCAACCCAATACACGCTCACTAGCACCTCTCTCAATCCCAGGCCCCACGTGCAACTTCTCCACAGCTCCTTGTCAAATACCCCTAAACCTTTTGAAGCCCTAAATCACTTGGAGAACCCCACACCTTTCAACCATCCTTGATGTAGTCTAAACCCTTACTTCAGCCATTAAAGGCTAACGAACTTCCAAGCTCTCAAGAACCTTACGACTGCTGTGCGTATCCCAGAAGCCATCAAACAACACACCTCCAGCCCCGTTTAAGGGTGTAGGCTTAACGCACCTTTGAGCCGCTGCCACACTAAGCTGCCTGCAACTGCCAAGAAGTTCAAAGCCCATGGCACTTCGAAAACCTTTTAATGCGCTGCCCGTCAAAAAATGCCCCGTTCCCTTCTTCGAAACATTCATTGCCCCCGGATAGAAGGCTCCAAGCTCCCCACTTCAACCCTAAACCTAAACCCTGAATTGTTAAACATCTCGAATCCCTAAACCTTCCTAAACCTCCCCAAAAAACCACCCACCCTTAAAGTTCCTGTGCCAAAAGCAGACAAAAAGGGAACCCTCAACCCTTGAAGGCCCTAGAACCCTCAACCCAAGACCTCCAAACCACCCTAAACCCCAACCCTGTAGTCCAGTAAGCCTAAATAAACCCTGAAGACTCCAAGCCCGAAACCCTGAACACGAAAACCTTAAAAGCCAAACGTCCGCCTCGACTTCGGCTCGTCCCTGAGACAGGTGTTCCTATAGTCTCCATTGGAATTCCTTTTTGGAGCTACATTATAGGATCCCAAGACCATATTTGGCGAACCCCAAAAAAGGGACTACATTGGAGACTACAGGTGGTTTAGTATATCTTGAGGTTCATGGGTGGTTATACTGGGTTTTGCTTCGGAAGTTAGCTTAAGTTAGCATCATATGGATCTAGGGTAAACTACTCAACGAAAAACCAGTATGGTGTAACGGGGCCCCCGAATACGAAGGTTTTGCTGTAGTTACCCTGCATAGAACCCTACTTAGGAATAACTATAACTGCAAAGGAACCTCAAAGTAGGGTCCATGCGCAGGGTTCTTCAGAAGTTTCCTTAAACAGGGCGTTATACGGGTTCTTAAAGGATTTCAAGAGTTGTTGGGCGAGTTCCAGCGTGTTGCACGTTTCTTTCAAGGCATTTTGGTGGTTTTTGGTATAAGGGTAAGTCAACGGTCCATGGACCTAAACATCATTACTTAGGTGTTGCAGGACTTCCTATATATTGTAGTTGCCGTAGGGTCATGTAAAAAAGTATCGGCACATGGACCCTGCGGGGTACCTGTAATCCCCAAGGAAGAATCCTGCTAGGTGACAAATTTTCTGGCTGCAGACAAACTAGTTGACAGTTGGGAGTGAAGATACGATAGGGGTCGGAAGACTTAGTAAGACTATGCCCTTGTAGTCCCTGCATGGTCATACTGTAACTTACCACCCAAAACCCAAGTCCAATCATTAAGGCCGCCAGTCGCTGTTTTGTTGAACCCTTCTGGTTTGGAGAGGCAACCTGAAGAATCTCTGCGATGTTGAAGGGATGGTCAAATCCTTGCTTGACTCAAAAAAGGGCAACTGCTAAGGGCTTACAGGGGGTTCATAAGGATTTAGAACTTAGACAAAGTTGTCAACCGGCTTTAAGCCCTCGTGAAATTCGCTTTGTACTGAGATGTTCCAGGGCTGTGTCTTGCTATGAGTCTGCACAAATGCCAACGCGGCGTCAGGCATCGAAGTACTACTGGTCGGAAGTGCCAAGACTTTAGAATCCTGAAAAGGTTCACTGTGGGAGGTGCCTGTCTCGGTCGCGATCGTCGCGCCGGTCTCGATCATTCCTGTCATCCTGGCAACATGCTGTCAAGACCCGACGGGGCCTAAGAGACTCGTGAGGCCCCAAAGTGGCTTCAGAAACTCGGAGCCCTTTCAACGGGTCCTCGTCCTTAGTTACAATTCGTACTCGAGTCCAGGGCTCAAGACCCCTTGATGCTGCCTTTAGGGGTTTAGGGGGTTTGAGTTGAGGGTTTAGGCCCCAGAACGCAAAGTCTGTGGTGGTAGCGCTAGGCACAGAGGAGATAGTGCAGCACAACAAGAAGGCAGTGATGCGAAGGAGTGGCTCACGGGCATCCAGTTTCTCGTAAAGGCCTTCAAGGCTTTTGGCATGCTTTAGGATTGTGGGCCAGTTTGGGAGTCAAATTCTCAGAGTATGCCAAGGATGATCAACACCGCTCTGTAAGCTACTGGCACAAGGGGTTCTGTAATCCTTAGCAGCAGTGGCACGGACTTCGAAGTGGGCGGTCCGGTTGAGGAACTCACCGCAAGTTTAAACAGCAAAGCGTCTTCTCTAAAAGAGTACATGTACATCACAAAATGATTTGTATTCTCCCCGTCATAAAACCCCACCCATACACTCATAAAGCCCCACACAAACACTAAACAGCAGCCCCGCGCACACTCACCAACATCCCTCACATACACGCTGAACGGCAAAAAACAAACAGCTCTTGTTAATCATAGCCCTAAGGGTCCATGTACCTAAATAGTATATACATTGGCCTTAAAGTAATCCCTATATAGGTATATTGGGGCCAATGTATACACTATTCGGGTACATGGACCCTTAGGGTAGAACCTTCAAAGGAGCCTTTGAAGGACTCCAAACAACCCTACAAACATCTCGAACTGAACCCACAAACGATCCCCAAGAACAATTATGCCAAAAAAAACATTCACGGAACTCCTGTGGAATACTTACATAGCTAACTCTTGAGGAATAAGCAGGGAGAAGCAAGCACAGACAATTTGTTTCATAATGGTTCCTTCAAGGAATAGGTCCAAAAAAAGCAAAGTATTCATGGTACTCCAAGCCCATCCCTTAGAACATCCCCGAAAGCAGGACCTTCCATGTCCGCTCATCGCGGGGAGGCGCTCTCCTGGCGCACAGGAGACGGAAGGTTCCCATGTAGTTAATTATGGGGTTTAGCATAAGCGATTTCTATTTGCTACCGTTATATGGGTTATACCGTACCTAGAAATGCTGTGCTTTTAACCCACGTATCCCCTCGGCATTCAAAATGCCGGCTACAGCATGGACCCTAGAGTTTCAGGGCCGTACGGACCCTAAACCCCAAGCCCAACTTGGCTTTAAATTCGGCTCCTGTCTCTCTCCCGATCATCTCGGCGATCCCGCTCATCCCGGCGGCGGTCCTCAAACCCAAAGGGCATTTAGGCTTTTGGGCTGTGGAAAGCACAATCCCTAAGGGTCCATGTACCTAAATAGTATATACATTGGCCTTAAACTAGTCCCTATATAGGTACATTGGGGCCAATGTATATACTATTTGGGTACACGGACCCTCCATAATTATCCCATCCTGTGTGGCAGGCACGTTACTTTTACAGGGCTCTTGTGACTCGGGAACACAGCGTGCAGGATTAGGGACTCAGGCGTGGACGGTGCATTTCTCTTAGGACTAGGATTTGGATGGATTTACTTAGAGGATCATTAGGTTATAACTGGGGTTATATGTCCCGTAAGTGGGGTTATCCGATTTATAACCTACGTATAACCTTACTTACTAAGTCCCATGAGCCTTCAACTAGGCAGATATGGGGCTTCAATGATATTGGCCTTAACAGAGCCACTAACAAGGCACTGCAACATGCAGGCTCCGGCGTTGAAACTTCCCCATCCGCGTTAACATACCTCCTCATTAAGTTGTCTTGGACTTGTAACCTAAGAATGGTTTATGTATGTTTACGTGGAACTATGGATCCTCACATGTTGAGCTCCTTCTGAAATCAACTTCGGATGTGAGGGTCAAGGGCCAATGCAGTGGCAAAACATCTGGTGCAAAGATTCGGTCTGTTCCTACAACATCCGTTCCATTGAGCATTCATACTGCGAATGGACAAAACTATGTGAACACCGTAGCAGCTACAAGCCACAACAAGCCGCGGCTT